AGCCCAGCTGCCCGCTTCAGGGGTGACCTGTGGAACCCACACCTGGTGTTTCTGGGGGACACAAACCTTGTGGGTGGACTGCTCCTGTCAAGATTAACACAAAGCAAACCAAAGGGATCTTACAGGCCAGAGTAGACCTGCCCCCAGGGGGCTTCCACAGCTGGAAGCAGACCACCACAACTGCCTCCCTCGGAGACACTGGTGGGTTCCCAACAGACGGCCGTCAAGCTGAGCGATTAAGTTGCACCTCCAATCGCTCCCTTCTGTAGGGCTTCAGAACCGAAAGCCCTCGTTGCCATGACACCAACCAGTCGGTCCAACTCAATCGACCCTTTTGGTTCTCAGCCTAGTGCTTGAATGGCTGCACTACCAGGGCGCCCCTTGGGAAGAACAACACCTAATAACAGCTAACCTAGCAACAGCCAGGGAGCCTAGCAACAGCTAACCTAAGAACAGCCTTCATGTGTCACTTGCTGGCCAGGTGCCAGTCACAGCAATCCTTACTCCTCCCTCCCCACCTTCCCTTACCCTCCTGGTCTCGCTACTCCCATTATCGGTCCACGGTGTGGCTAAAGCACCAGGCCACGAAGCCAAAGGCCAGCCGTTGAGACACGCCCGTGGCCCTGAGGGAGAAAGATGAGGCCCTCCCTCGCCTCCTGTTTGAGCCCACGAGGGAGACCCCCAAGCCCCAAACATAATGTAAGGTGAGTGTCGATGGAGCCTTAAACAGGGCAAGACGGGGACAGACCGTCCCTCAGAGGGAGGTCACCGGCAGGCGGCCATGCTGGTTTCCCAGGGTGGACAGGGTACCGAAGGCTGCGACAGGACATGGGAGTACAGAGAACATGCCCAGACGCAGGACTGGGGCAGAGCGAGCGACACATCACGATCGCAGGGGGCAGGGATCGGGATTGGGGGCGGAGGGGAAGGGACCATGATCGGGACAGGTACATTATGTGAGACCAGTGGTTCTCAACCTTCCTCGTGCCTGGACCCTTTCACACAGTTCCTCATGTGGCGGTGACACCCCCGCCCCCAACCATCACATGATTGTTGTGGCTACTTTATCGCTGTCATTTTGCTACTGTGATGAATCGGGCAACCCTGTGAATGGGTCGTTCGATCCCAAAGGGGTCGTGACGCACAGGTTGAGCACCGCTGTGTTAGAAATGTATCAGGAGAGACCAGTCCCCCGGGGAAGGACACCATGCTTGAGGGGCGGTAAGGCCTTGGACAAGATGGACGGACACAGTGGCCGCAACCATGGGCTTCCAGGTGACCACCATCGGGCAGACGGTGCAGGACGGGCCGGGCCGTGTTTTGTTCCCTTGTGCATGGGGTTATTGTCTGAGTGGGGACCGCCTGAACTGGATGGCAGCTACCCACTACCAGCCCAAGAGGGCTCAGGGCCTTCTGACCGCAGGACTCGGGCTGCACTCCTGAAGCTGTGGCCCCAGGGGGGCCAGTTTCCATCAGGGACACACCCTGGCCAGCGCCTGACAGAGTCTGCCCCTCCCCGGGCTGGTTAGGGGCCGGGTGGTCACCCACTTTCCAGTGCACTCTGCCTGAGGGCAAGAGGGCTCACTCTGTCAGAGCCCAGCCCCAGCTCTGGCGCATGCCTACATGTCAGGAGGATCCACCAGGGAGGAAACGCTGGGCGGCCCTGCGCCTTCCTCCCAGTCGAGCCCACGCTGCAGCCCCCTGTTACAGCCGCCGTGTCCACCTGTCTGGTGGAGGGCCTTCCTTCTTTCCATGCCCTTGCTACGGGAGTAGAAAGCCCCATCTTTCTCTCTGGGAGCGGCTGGTGGTTTGGGAGAGCTCACCTCTCGGTGAGCAGCCTGATGTGTGACCCCTGAAGCCACAAACCTCCAGGGCTCCTGCGTTCCCCGCAGAAGGACTTCGACGGAGGCTTCATCCACAGGCGGACCGAGCACACACCACTTTTCACGGTGATCCTAAACCTGGGGCTCAACATTTAAATTGGAAGATGAACCTAAACCCCCAAACGACACCCGCTGCCATTGGGTGCGTGCTGACTCACAGCGACGCCCCGAGACTGTAAATGTTGGCGGGCGTAGAGAGCCCAGGTTTTGTCCTGGGGAGCGGCCAGTGGTTTCGAACTTCCAACCTGGCAGGTCGCAGTCTGACCTGTCATCGCTATGCTGCCAGAGGTTCTAGGGAGGAGCAGACCCCGCGCTCCGTATGGTGAGCTCGGATACAATCCACAAAGATCGCCAGCCCTGGGGAGCCGGTGGGGCGCCTGCTCTCTAGATATCCACACGCTAGGAGTGGGCATGGACTCCCCACCACCCAGCATTTGGGGATTGGAAAGCTGTTTCTCTAGTCTACCCAGATTCACACACTGATGGCGCCTGGTTGCTCGTCTGGAATCTTAAAGGCTTGGAGTGAAACAAGTGACCGTCCAGAAGGGAAGCCACAAGTCCACCAGCCTGTGTGATCATGAGGTGTCCAGGGATCAGGGATCAGGCATCAGAAGAGCCCAAACAAACAATCATATCTATGCAAATGAGGAGGGTCAGAAAGGAGACCCAAAGCCCATCTGTAGACAATTGGACATCCTCCC